CTCCTGAATTTTGTTGAGAATTTTTGCTCCTGGGTTCATGAGGGATGCTGGCCTATAGTTTTCCTTTTTAGTAGTCTTTGTCTGGCTTTGATACCAAGGTTATGCAACTTCATAGAGTAAAGAGAGAGTATTTCTTTCTTTCTTTCTTTCTTAGGTTATGGGCTAGCTTAAGTAAAATTGGTACCAATTCTTCAAACCTGAGACCAGAAGAAATAGATGGTTCCCAGCAACTGTTCTGACCAGGAACAAAATAGAAGGTCTTATGTAAACTAAAACTCAAATTTCTAAAAGGGGGAGAAAAAAAAAGCGAGATCCCCTTACCAACAAGCACTAGAAGAACCCTCAAGAATATTGCCCTAAATCCTTTGAACTTGGAATTAAAGCTATTTCTGCAGGTCACCTTCCAGCCAAATGGTAGACGGCCTTACACAAGAAACAGTACCACTTGTTAAAAATGTGCTCCCTTAAATAATCAAGAGCCTTGGTGGTGTGGTGGTTAACATCGGGCTGCGATCCGCACGGCTGGCAGATTGAAACCACCAGCAGTTCCAGGGGAGAGACTGGCTTTCTACTCCCGGCAAGAGGCACAGTCTGTAAACCCACCGGGGGTCGCTGTGAGTGAGCACGGCAGCAAGTTTGCTTTGGTGATAATCAAATAGCTAATGACACCAGGGACCAATGTGAGGAAATAAATCAATAGACTTCATTGCATAAATATAACAAAGGAAAACGTGATCCTCTCCATCAATGGAGAAAGGGTATTTGTTAAAGTCCAACACTGCTTCCTCCTAACAAACTCAGCAAAAGTAGAGGTGAGACAGCAACGAGGGGAAGAGCAGTTAGTTTAAGGGAAACAGAATAAACAGGAAGGAAAGCATGAGAATGCTGACACCTTGTGAATGCTGACACACCAACGGGCAAGGAAAATTCTCTAAAACATATGTTAAAACAGGCCCTAATTTTCTCCGGAAATTGTCACCTATGACACAATAAAATATTAAGCAAACTGCCCTCCAGTTTTCATCAAGTTGCATTCAACTCATAGTAAGACCAAGTGTTTACTGATCATCAGGCCTTTCTCTCCCAGGTACCGCTGGATTGGTGAGAACCAGCAAGTTTTCAGGAAGAAGCCCAGTGCTTAACCACCTGCACCCCTAGGCCCTCCTGCTGTACCTCACTAGAACCTCCTAAAGATGGAGAAGGGTGTTGCCAACAACCAAACCTGACCCGACCATAATTCACTCGTAAAGTCTACTCTCCTCAGTGACTTCACTGAACTGTCCTCCCAACTTCCCATGAGGGTCAAGGTGAGACAACACTGACACTTGGGCCTGACGCCACACTGTATAAATGTGTGCACTATATATCTTAGTCAGAAGGAAAAACAACCTTGCACCATGAGATCAACCAAAAAGAACAGGTTCACCTGGTCTAGTGCTGATGCCCCAAATACTAGAAAATCCTGATCCTTTCTGACTGCCTAGCAAACACATCGTTATCCTTGGCTTCCGTGTGCTGATGACTAAGAAAGTCGCCTCTGTGGTTTGGTGATCACATAAGAAAACTGCTGCCGCTCCACTAGGAACAGACTGCTGCATATTTGGTAACCTCAGTAATTTCACATATGGGGTTTAGGTTGTTATGTTTTTCTTTTCTTTTAACTATCAGGGGTTTGTTGTATTTGATGAGCTAATTCTTCTGAAGTCTGATTTCTTTGCACCTCTCTACAGTTCAACTCCTGTTCTTTTCTAAAAGGATGACTGCAGACTGTGAAATGGAGCTGAGTGCTTTCAGGAGTCCCAGGCTGCTGCAGTAGCTGAGGTGCGTGTGGGTTCTCTATTCAAGAAAAGCCCCTAGTGGTCCCTGGGGGTGGTTCCAGTGTGGAGTTACACTGGGTAACTGAAAGTCCTTTCCTTGTCAATGCCAAGCTACAGCTTACCTACATGCACACTGGTTCCAACAAGCCGGAGCTGAGCATCTCCTGAGCACTCTAGGAAACTCCAGGAGTACAATGGAGAACAAGACAGAGGAGATTCCTAGCCTCATGGGATTTACAGTTGCGTGAAGCCACCATGCATTCATTAATTAGTCAGAAATGATGATAAGATTACAGCTGCAAAAACTGGAACAAAGGAGAGGTAAGGTGTACCATGGGAGCCAATACAAAGGGAATCTGACCCAAATGAAATGAAAATACAAAGAGGCTTTTGTGAAAAAATTGATCCTCCTCTGGCCTGGGAAAGTACAGAAGCAAAATGTACAATACTTCCCTAAGTTACAGAATTCAAACCTGCCAGGCTCACTGATTTCAATGACGTCCACACAGAGACAGACACTGGGAAGGGACTGCTGGAAGCACTGCCCCAACAGGGAATTCGTAGATGGAAACAAACTCCTCCATAAACCAAGAGATCCCACATTCAGCTAAATCGCTGCATCATCCATAGACAGTAAGAGCCAGAGATAATCTATCCTAATTTTAAAATGTTGGTCTCAGAACATCACAGAATAGTTGTCTTTCTTCCCCAGAAAACTTATGAATTGTTTTCATGAAGTATTCTGTCTTTAGATAAAACAAAGGGAAGATGAAACTATAGTTAGCACTTAGTGCCTGTAGAATGCATTACTAACCAAGTGAGAACAAACTTCAGCAAGAAGCCATCCAAAGTCTATTGCCTTGGTTCAAAGAAACCATTTCCGTAAATACAATATAGTGAAATCTTTAAAAGGTTTAATTATCCACAATCTTACACAGTGCAGTGGTATTATGTAATGTGCTAGAAGGTAACACAGGTAAAAATTATGTCAAGAAAAGCAATAATGTCAAGGTCAGTAGCAATAATCCCTTCCCCTACTCTTCCCTAGGCAGATCAACCCTGGAGGATTTGAGCTCAGTTATGGGAAGGACGCCCTAAGAGGACAACTGATGTATTCTGAGGCATTTAGAAGTGGATGCACAAGAAGGAGGGTGAATCTGAAGCAGAAAGACTCCGAGGGCTGCCTTCCAGTATCTGAAGGCTCTCATTTGAGAAAGAAGTAGCTTGTATTGTTCTGCCTCCATCCGTGTTCCTGCCAGTCACCAGGGCCTCCTACTTGGCTCTGGGACCCTGACTCATCTTGCTAGTGCCCCCACATGGTCCTGTGGGACAAGGTGTTATTGTGTGTACCACACACACACACACAGAAAAAGATCCTGTCATTATCCATGTCTATGCAAAACTCTACTAACAGGATCCTTACATGAAACGCTCTGGAATCTTCAACTGCTCGTGATGAACACACATGACGGCGGGGTTTATGTCAAGTTTCCCAGCTCTCTCTCTCCTAGAATTCTCTCAGAGAATGACTGCTCTTCCACACATCCTGTTCCAGACGGCACAGGGGCGAGGACCAAGGGTGCCTTCACAGGGAAGTAGTGGCACCAAGACTGACACTGGGACTCCAGAAGAATCTCCGAGGGTAAAGCAGCTCACAGGCTTGCTGGCTACTGACCCAGTCTCCTGTGGAGCAGCACGGCAGTCCCAGGTCAGGATCCCCTCAATACAAGCTGGGAAGGTTACTGGTTTTGTGCATGTCTTATGAGAGAGTAAAGGATTAAACAATGGCCCTGGAATCTCTAACCCAAAGCCTCTAATCCTGGGAAACTCTCCAGCTGTCTTCTTTGTGGACATTGTCCAACCCAACCCCAAGATTCCTCCATCTTTCTTAATTAACACCCTCCAATCTATCCATTGCCAAGGAGTCATGCCACTCCTTCAAGGAGATTAAATTGCTTAGAATTTTATAAATCTGGGTCTCAATTTTACCAGCTCGTTCTACTCACCCCACCCTCAGAGGGGTAAGAAAACAAACAACATTTTTTTCCCACTGAACCGAACATAAATTGTAATTCAGTTGCACGACTGATCGAATGCTTGGTGTTGATTTCCTGCTCTTTGCTACAAGGTGGCAGGGTGGTGCACCATAGGACCTTTTATTTCATCATATAGGGCATAGAGAGAATAGGAGAAAAGATGTGGCTACTGAGGTCCCTGACGACCTAGCCAGAGACCAACAGCTGGGAAAGAAGCACACTTGTGAGCGGATGGGTAGAAGGGCGGTAGACAAAGTCATGAGGGAAGTGGGACTTCAAGTCAATTACGGGCCAACCCAGAGGAGGAAGGAGAAGACACAAAGAAGGGCATAAAAGTTTTGGTGGGGGGATCCCTAAAACACAGTGTGTTCCGCTCACTCCCATTTACGACTCACAGACTAGAATATGTATATATATTTTTCATTGTTTGGTAACCTAGCATCTACGAATTCCATTCATGGATTGCTGTTTTGGTAGGGGGTGGGTGTGAGTGTGGGTGTGTCAGGTGTTAGGTAAGTCAGCTCCACCTCAAAGCCCCCTGCATACAAGAGACCCGACCTCTCCCGGTCCTGTGCCATTTGCAGCATCGGTGCTACGTATGAGCCCAGTGTTGCCGCCACTGTGTCAATCCACCTCCTGGAGGCTCTTCCTCTTTTTCTCGGACCCTTCATTGAGCCTTGATAAATCATCACTTGTTGCCATAGAAAACTTGGGCCAATGAAAGAGAACACAATGCTGCGTTGAAACCCTCCCTTGAAATGAAAAACGGACTCTTTCTAGCACATTGCTGCTCAGAAGGAAAACTCTGTCTAAAGGTCACTGAGAGACAGGGTAGGGAAAAACCAAATGTCTCTCTCCGTTTAATCCCTGTGGACTCCATGGCCGTGCCCCTGAGGAGGGCCCCAAACTTCCTGGCGTGGTGGATGTGAGCCTCGGACAGTAAAATCAGGCTCGCGGGCCGAGCAGCAGTGCCCCCGGCTCTTCACACATGGACACTTCAGCAGGGCTGCTATAAATAAATAAATGCTGTCTTGATTTAGGGCACATCAGCTACTGTTGCTATTTCAGTGCTGCCCTGTCAGGCTAAGCGTTCACCTCAGCAGTGTTTACAGGCAAGAAAACGTTAGTGCAGGAGCGCCGTACTTACCAGTGCCGAAACTTTCCTCCCCACAAAGGGACAGCTTGCTCGCATCCATCAAATTCCCAAAAAACTTCCAGCCAGTTGGAGTCTCATACAAAGAGATCTTTGTAGCATGAGCCACCCTTCAAAGGCATGAAATCAAAGTTACATCACAGCAGGACCATTAGCAGGGCCATGTGAAGGACACAAAATAGCAACCATTATTGTAATCAAGGGTCCCATTGAGCCTGACTCAGAGGTGCACATAATTCTAAGATGGGTGGAGAACTGTCAGAGAAAACTTGTGCACACTGGGCTATTCTATGGGGCTTTGGGAGAGGAGGGCAGGTGAGAGAAGAGGTCAGATAAATTCAGGTCCCCGAGCCTAGCATTTCAGAAGAAGCAACGGTCATATCACGTGCTTGTACATATTTTAGTCAATCTAAGGCTGTGTGTGTTGGATACCAATCGTCTCTACACCCATTCCATAAAGAACCAAAGAACGATGCTTGAAAGCACTTCTAATTACAGACAATTATTCTCATATCAGAGACTACTGCTCTGGGGAAGGCTCACGTTCGAGAGAAGGAAAGGAGGCCAAGAACGCTCTGTGATCAGCCGAGGCCACCCAAGCAGGGCTGACCCCATCAGCACTCCTTTCAGCACAAGAGAGCCAACGGAGGGAACACCCAAAGGGGTCACCCACTCACAATGACTTCACGTGCCCTGATCGGTGGTCCCATCTCCCTCCCACGCATCTTTCACATCTCCCTACACAGCACCAATGGCCCTGCGTGGCACCTATGGTTGGTGCTCACCAAGCAGCTGAGGGTTCAAACCTACCCGGCAGCAAGCACCACAGGATACAGGCCTGGCACCCTGGTTCCATAAAGATGGCAGCCCCCCACAAAACCCTAAAGAGTTCCGTTCTCCTCGGCAAGGCAGGAGCCAGCGTGACTGGAAACTGACCCAATGGCAACAGGCGTGGTTCATGTAGCGTCTGATTACTGAAAGCCTCCTTGAGACCTATGTTCCTCTTTTTAAAGATTTCTTCTGAAATTTGCTTTATTCCTAGCAAAGGAATGCCGTGTTTGGGTTCTAAGCTTTCAGGAAAATTCAATTTGTGGCAGCTCCATCACAACATGTTTTGAAAAGTGTGAAATAAATTAAACTTTAATCTGGATAATGAGGTATTTCTGTTGAGATGCTATATGCAGCTGATTAAGTTTTCCAAAAATTGGAATTGCACTGATGGAGAATTTGTTAGAGAGCCTGTCAGGTCTACACGCAGAGGTGGGACTACAAGTTAGGGCATGGGTCCACGGATCTGAAGACAGATGCCTGGGTTCTAATTCCAGTTCTGAATTGGCTCCTTCTCTGGCTCTGATGGCCTCTCCTCGGGACTGTCTCCGTAGCACACAACAACAACAGGATGAGTGTCAGTTGGGATGGCAAAGGTGAAAAAACAAAAACTCACTGCTGACTCATTGAGACCCCCTGTGGGTTTCCAAGACGGTTACTGTTGACGGGAACAGAAAGCCCAGTCTTTTTCTGGTGGAGGTGCAGGTGGTTTTGAACTGCTGACCATGCGGGTTGCAGCTGAATGCATAACAACTATGCCACCAGGCCACCTCCAAAGATAAAAGTGTACTCTAATCATATAAATTAAAAGTTTTATATTTATTAAATATAAATATGAAGGAACTCTGGTGGAACTGAGGGTTAGGCACTAGGCTGCTAACATCCAGGTCAGCAGTTCAAAGCCCCCAGGCGCACTGCAGGAGAAATATGAGGTTGCCTGCCCCCCTAAAAGCTTGCTGTCGTAAAAAACCCTGCATAAGAGTTGTGATGAGTCAGAGTTGACTTAACAGTAGTTTTGGTTTGGTTTGTTTTATATCGATAGTAGTCATTATTTTCTTAATAAGCGTAAGCAATTTCAGCACTAATGCTGTAATCCCCTGCAGGAAGCATCCGCATGACGCAGTATTGGGAACAAAGGTTCTGGTTCAAATTCTGACTTAGTCATTTGCTAGTAAAGGTGACTTTGGGAGAGTCACCTGTTTTCCTTCTTGTAAAATTAAGTTATGAACAGCATCTACTTTGGGGCGATTAGTTTGAGAAGTGACTTGAATCATGAAAAGTACTTAGTTTCTGGTACAAGTAATATTTACTAAATATTAATTATTATTTGAAGAGTCTAGATTTAAATGTTTCAGGTTTCTACTCTGCCTTAATTCCTCCTTCCCTCAGTCCTTTCCTTCCTTCTTTCCTGCATCTCTCTCTACATTCATTCAGCAAACACTTACGGGGCATGTGATATATTATAGTTAGTATTGTCTGGAGGCTCGTTGGCTAGATTACTTATATTTTCAATTGTTTTAGATACAGTCTGATAAACTACCTTAAAGCCTTTGTATAATGAGATGATAATAAGAGGCAAACAAACACTTCTGAGATGTCAACCACTTACTGCCATTGGTTTCCTCCTTTCTCATCAAAGCTAAGAGTTTGGGGAGTAGGGGGCTGTTTGAGAGAGAGAGAGAGAGAGAGAGAGAGAGAGAGAGAGTGTGTGTGTGTGTGTGTGTGTGTGTGTGTGTGTTTTCTATCTGATCTGTGAATTTTGATTTTGGACCAAATGAATGTTTGTTATGTTTGCATGTATATGTGTGTCTGATGAAGGTGGGCCTGGATTTCCCTGTGAAAGTTTTGTTGAAACACTGAAATTAGTTAAAACTTCTTTCTTTCTAATGCTGTGCACACTGCTAAAGGAAAATAAGCTTCTAGAATAATCCCTTGAGGGGGTGGAAATGCCATCCATCCATTAACCATTCTTTCATTGATCCATTCTCTTGGCAAACACAGACACGAATGTGTGCACATGCACATGTATATCCTGCTACAGGCCAGATGCTCTGCTAAAGCAGAATTTAGTATGGTAGATAAGATAGTCCCTTCTACGTAGAAGTGCACAGCCTAGTGTATAATCTAGCAGAGAAGAAAGGCAAATGAGCAGGCTGTCAGAACACAGTATGGTAAGTGCTGGGATGGAGCACGTGCAGGGTGCTCTGGAAGCACAGAGAGGGGATAGCTAATCCCAAACCAGCTTCACCGGCTCCCTGTACAACTAATACTTATTTAGCACACACGCTGCATCAGAAGCCTGAGCTGAGGGGAAGTGCAGAGTGTCCAAGCCCGGGGAATGAACCGCACAGTAGGGATCAGCATGGTCAGCAACAAGGAGGGCCAAGGGAAGAAAGAGACCTACCGGTCCAGGGCACCACTGGTGGGCATGCTGCGTGCCAGGCCTCGGACCCCAGTCTGCTGGAAATATGGAATGCTGACGATGTTGGCAGCGATGACAGCCACGGAGTCAGAGGGGTTCACGAAGAAGCCGTGCTTGCCCAGGATCATGTTTCGGTCCTTTGGGAGAAGGGGAGGGAAAGGAAGACCTTGCAGCACACCTGCTGGAGAAACCAACCTCTTTCGATGAGGACTTTCGGACACCAGACTGGAAAAGGGCTGCTTCTCTTCACACTGAGTTTTAAACACTACATTTCCTTTTTCATGCATGTCTATAGTACGAGCCGGGTCTTGGGTGTTAAAACTGTTTTCCACTACAAGTGCAGGCACCAGCTCCTTTTGAGCTGATCTTCTATACTGCCCCCAAAGGCCTGCTAACTTTACCCTCCTTGCCCTTTTCCACACTCCACAACCAGTCACCTCTCTCTCACTGCAAGAGGAGGGGAACTGTTAGCTGTTTGCACAGCTTGTAGGGCAACCAGGCATCCTCCGAGGAACAAAGGCAGACAGACTGCTTCCAGGAGAGGCTGCCGTGTCAGGACCCGTCCACTTTGTGCTCCTCCCAATAACGCAGGCTGCCAGCCTCACTGTTTGCTGGGTGTCCGGTACAGGGAGGGTCTCGAGTAACTGAGGACATGGAGGGAAAGCTCCCATCATGCATGGCATTATGATATAAAATGGTATCTACTGGGCATCCCTTTCATTGCCCCCAATTTTGCAATTAGAGAAATCCATTTTCAGCAAGTAGTGGCTTCTAGCTGGTGCTATAAAACATTAACAGCGCAAGGTACATTTCCAACCATAGGCACAGTCAGTGCTTACGGTCTGCCAGACACCAGCAACACAAACCTGAATAAGACACTGTCCCTTTCCTACCTAATGCATATGGACCAATAGAAAAAATAATGTTGTTTACTTCTAAAAATTGACTATAGAGGAGGGGTAAGAAGTTAATTTTTTCACTAGAGTACTGACGGAAGCTACTAAATTATTGCTTCCATCATTCAGCTACTGTCAATAAAGAAAGAATGGGCAAGGCCAAGGCCTTTCCATAAACTTCAGGAAACTGCTGGTTGGGAGCAGAAACAAGTAACTAGACTCCAACCAGCTCAGGACAGAACCACCTTGCCACACTTAGCAAGCTTGAATCTCTAAAATTAAGCCTCTGGTTACACATTATTTCTGACGCCTGGCACAAGGAGGATCCCTCGGATGTCACCCACCAGGCTCCCAGGGCCTGGCAGAAGCAACCTTGCAAAGTCAGGCCTGGTCGGCATCAGAATTCAAGTAAATTCCCTCGTACTCACCCCATCACCATCAAAAGCGGCCCCAAAATCATGCTCTCCTGTCTTCATGGTCTCCACCAGGTCTGCTGCGTAGGTGAGGTTGGGGTCCGGGTGGTGACCTCCAAAGTCCTCCAGAGGAACGCAGTTGACAGCCGAATTCGCGGGGGCTCCCAGTTCTTCACAGAGGATCTTCTTTACATACGGTCCCACAACTGCATACAGCACGAGATGAAAGCGTGAAGCAGCAGAAAGTACCTATCCCTAAAGCAAGAGAGCATGGGGTGGAAGCGGAAGCAGTCGAGGAGGGTGGTGGTACAAGCAAGATGATAACGCATGCAGGCGGCATTCAGGGGCCGGCAGGACTGGATAAAAGGTTCCACATTAGGGAATACTGAGAGATTCATGGGGAAAGCCTGGGGGGCGGGGGGCAAGGCAATGTGTAAGGGGTGGGGGCAGGGGGGGGCCAGATGGGAGTGAACTCTCACAGGCACTCTCCTATACAGCTGTGCCACGTGCTTCTCATTTTACCATTCAGTCCCCCAACCAACTCAGTAAGCACTTACAACGAGTGCTTACAAACTTTGACTGGGAAATCAGAAGACCTGAGTTCAAATCCCGTCTGCCAGCCATGGGCTATAGGTCAGTCACTCACTCTGTGACTCAGCTTTCCCATTTCTAACACGAGGACAGTACTAGCAGCTATACCTCACTCACAGGGTTAGATGAAGGAGTGAATATGAATCCCTGAGAAGGGCAGGGCAATGAACATCTCCGACTGAGAGATGCAGAGAAGTAAACGGAGGTTCTTAGGTGAAGAGAGCTGACCCAATTTGCACAGCTCGGAAGAGCGGCAACTGGAAGTCAAAGCTCTGATCTTTCTACCAGAGCAAGTGGTCTGTCCTGACAAACTGGTTCAGAAACAAACCAACAAAACCCAGTTAGGGAAAAAGGAAAAGGAAATGGGAGAGAAGAGAAAGAAAACTGAAAATACAAAATCAGTCACTTACTTTCATGGTGACACCTGGTCTAACTACTAACATTCCTCTCTAAAATGTGGGGAAGACATTTGCCTCAGAGAAGGCCCTGCCCCGCCCTACCCCACAGAGGTCAAAACAGAGTAGACTATGACTCCTAGGTGGAGCCACGTGGTAAGAAGGGTGTCGACACACCACAGGAGGAGGCCAAGGCAGGCAGGGAACACAGAAACCACGGGATTAGACATGGCTAGACCAAAGAAGCCGACTTTGTGGCTAGCTCCTCCTACCCAAAGGCCCATCACAGCCTCTGTTCTCATGCCACTGATGTGACATCTGTTCTTCAGCCTTGATTCCATGAGTACAGTCACTGTCTCACTTGATTTCCCACCACTCTTGACCTTTGTTCATAAAGACTGAGTTTGCTGCCACTTCTTCCAGGGAACCTTCCTTGATAACCCTAGTCAAACCACACCTTCTGCAGATCACCAGAGAGAAGACTAGGAAATGCATTCAACTCTCCTTTGGTTGGCCTTACAGGGGTTAGCTGTAAGCCACGCCATCTCTCCACAGGGCTACAAGCTTTCGGAGGGAAGCCATCTACTGAGTTCTTGCCTACTCTTAGGTGTATGTGAGGCGGCGACTCAACACATGGCTGTTGGATGGTTTGTTGAATGACAGGATAGCTTCTTTATGAATACGGAAACAGACCCATCCTGTGTGACTCCAGACGTCCCGCTGCAGCCCAAGGGGACAAGTTCCAGGGAGACATGTTGGTCCATCAAAAGGCTTCTTAACAATGTTTTGGGATCACGCAATATACCTCTGATTCTTTGAGGCCTCCTCACCTGCCACTATCATGACCCCAGTGCCGCTTCCCACTCTGGACTGGACAGGAGCATGGACATAGGTAGAGGCAAGAGATAAAACTCACAACACATGGACCCCATGAATGGGAATGGGAGAGAGGTGGGGAGGGAGGGGGTTACCATTCCCAATGAATGGCACACACACACCCATCCAGGGTGAAAAACAACGGAAACCAGAGAGGAAGGGAGACAGCAGTCTGTGTGAGATTTGAAAATAATTAACAATCTGTATGGTCTATCAAGGGGCCACGGGGAAGGAGTAGATCCCAAGGGCTCAATGGAAAATAAATGTCTAGAAAAGAACTATGGAATATATGTACGAATATGTCAGATACAACTGATGTACGGATTGGAACAAGATTTTTAAGAGACCCCAATAAAATGATCTAAAATAATATTTTTTAAATGATAACAAAATAAAATAGCAAAACAAAAACAAAACAAAAAAAAACACCCAATGTTTTGGCAGTGTAACAAAACGCCCTCAATGATATTCTCAAAAGGGGTTCAAACACAGATAGGAAAAAGTGTCCTTGACTAGGCAAGAGGTTGAATTCCATTAGGAAGTATCCTTGCCAGCCAATGGCTCTAAATTCCTAAAGTATTAAACAAAAACAAGCAACCAATCCCCTGCCGTTTCATGTGTGAAAACTCAGTGGTTCAGCCTCACAAGGCCCACTGCCACATATGCTGATCTAACCACACAACCAACAGAGGAAGAAGCGGGGGAGACAGCCATCCTGTTGTTCCTGCATTTGATCCTCAGCGTGCTCCTCCCCCTCTTCTAAGAAAAGGAGTGTGTTTGTGTGTGTGGAGGGGTGGTGGTGGCGGGGGCGTGGTGGTCAGGATCGTGTTTACCACATGGAGCCAATACCTAGGCGGGGGTGTTTGGGGTTTTGGAAGAATGGCAGGTATCTTCTGTGGGGGAGGGAAAAGCCACAACAGATGCATGGCACTCAAAACTTACATCCTGGTGCTTAATGTGGAAACACCAACCTTCAGACTAGCTGCCAGAGGAGAGGTCTCTAATATTTTTACCACAGAAGTTCATCTGATTCAGATGCTTAACTGCACATTCTTGAATGACATGCGGAAAGGGCTTCAAGAATAACTCTTTCTTTAAAGGCTACCAGAGAGCGGTTTGGGAAAAGGCTGGTCCCAGCATCACAATGCGTGCAGTAGAGAGCGGAATGGAGTAGGAAATGGCCCATACCTCCATGCATGGCGTCAATACGGATCTTGAGTCGGTTAGGCCCAGAGAGCAATTCTTTCAGTGCACTGAAATCAAAGATGTTCCTCAGCATCGTGGCGTAAGCTTCCACCGAATCCACAATTTCCACTATGAGAATAAGCAACATCGAATGAAGGATGAACTAGACATCTTTGGAAATACTGGACTGGGAAACGATTCTGGACTGGGAAACAATTCTATTTAGAAATATTGGCCTGGGAAACGATTCTATTACTTGCACACTTGCAATGGCTATTTTAAGAGGGCAGTTATAGAGCAGCTTCAATATCCCGGAGCTGTTAACATGCTAGCTTATTCAATACAATTGCCTTAAGAAGTCAGTGCTGTCAGTCCTATTTTCTAGACAAGGAAACTCAAGGCCCAAGAGGTGAAGTCACTTGCCCACCTAGCTGGGAGGGGGTTTCGGACTGAGTTTTGTCTGGCTGTAAACTCTGCTCTCTTACCCATCACCACAGAGGTGGGTTCTATGTCACACTGAACAGAAAAAGCAATGCCTACTTGTCTTCCCTTTCCTTTTTCCCAAGTTCATGGCCATCAGGACTTAATGGCAAACATCGGGGGTAGGAGACCTTGGAGAGGGATTAATAAATCATTGTCCACAAAAGTTAACAAAAATTGTCGTTAGATTTTTCAGGATCCTTGACTATTTGCAAAACATGACATGCTAAGGAGACGCTCTGGTGTTTCAAACCCAAGCATGTCTTTGAGCTGCAGGGAAGTGTCATTGTCAGTCTGTTCGGACAGAATCGTCAGTGCCCCACGATAGGTTCACACAAAAGAAAGCATTCTATGCAGCTGCGGTCAGTCCAGAGAAAAGGATACGTGTTCAGACAAAGTCAAGATGCAAATCCCACTGCCAAGCCCCTCCTGCTCATTTCATTCTTGTGAACAGAAACATTTAGTCTTTCAAGTATTGTCATACGTTGTCAAGCAACAATGTTAGTTAACAAGAATGTTAACCACAACTAGATAGGGGGCTTTTTCTTTTTTTTTCAGTTTCCCCATCCCCCTAAAAGAAAACAAACAAACAAACAAAAGGTTGATCATCAGTCATCTGTTTTACTGAATATTAAATTCCACGCCGCAGTTGCTGTTAGGTGCTGCAGCATTGGCTCTTACTCACAGCGACGCCATCTACCACAGGACGGAACACTGCACCAGCTTCATAACCCTCTTACGTTACGGCCACCGCGTCCAGCCCTCTGAGGGCCTTCCTCTTTTGCACTGCCCCTCTGCTTTCGCAAGGATGACGTTCTTCTCCAGAGATGTGTCTCTCCGGACAGCATGTCCAAAGTAGGTGAGATGAAGTCTCCCTGTCCCCGCCTCTCAGGAGCACTTTGGCTGCACCTCTCCCCAGGCAGGTGTGTTTGTTCTGTGCAGTCCACGGTACTTTCAATAGTCTTCATCAGCACCACAATTCCAGTGCATCGGCTTTCCTTAGCCTTCCTTATTCAATCTCCATCTTTCACATGCATACAAGGTGATGGAAAATCACCGAGGCTTGGGTCAGGCACACCTTAGTCCTCAAAGTGAAGGCTAATAGTGTGTACTCAGCTAAACAAATTAATATTCAGTAAAATAAATTACTGAGTTACTGAGCCCTGGTGGCACCGTCAGGTAAGTGTTGGACTTTTGGCCACAAGGTTGGTGGTTCAAACACACCAACCATTCCGTGGGAGGAAGATGAGGTCTTGGAAACCCTATATAGGGTTTCTAGAAGTCGGAATGGACTCTACATATGGCAGTCATTTATAGAGAAAGAGAGAGGGCTCTAAGCCGAGGCTCCAGAATCATTCACACAATCATCCTGATTTTTACTACTTCCTGACTTGTGACCTAGAATCTGTTACTTAACCTCCCTGGGCCTTTGCTTCCTCGTCTATAAAACCATGGATGCTAACAGTGCTGTCTTCACAAGGCTACTGTGGGACAACGCATGTGCAGAACTCAGCACAGAATAAGAGCTTAATAAATGTGAGCGATGGATATAATCTTACAGGTTCTCCAGTCAAGGTCATTGCTTTACAGGTACAGAAACTGAGTTGGAAATGACTCATCCATGGTCACACGGGTAGTCTGCCACACTGGGAGAGTCCAGCCCCAATTCCAGGCGTGCTAATTCAAGGATGCAAAGCTTAATGACCACAATCTTTCCAAAGCTCAAGGGCCTCATGGTTACCTTAAAAGGCAAGTTCCTCCTGTTGGAAATGGAAGTGGCAAGAGGGGAAAGAAAACAAACATGCCTGTGAAGGGTTTGAACTTGTTCTCCAGGTCAAACTGCTGCTTTCCCAGGACAGCCAGGTCCACTTTCAGGTCGGGGCAAATGGCATACTCCTCAATGGTCTTGCTGATTTGGAAAATCTTATCAGTTATTGCTTCTGGAGCCGGACCTAGGCACCGAATAGCAAACAGTGGGTCATTGTGTGCCGCTGGTGTGAAAAGACGAAAACTTCTAAGCGCCCCGATTCCTGTTTACCCACATGGCTCCCACTCCACCCCCAGGCATCCGAGTGTCAGCATTTTCTCAGAGAAAACTCCACATCTCACTTTATTGTGTTCTAGGGCACAGCTTTCAAAGAAAGGCAGGTTGCCTTTAAGGGTTCGGACACAGTCGTTTGGTGCCATTGGCTTCTCAGCATTTTCAGGTGTCCGCACGCGCCCTGCTGCCCTGCTAACTTTCTATTTCCCTCGAGGCAGCCTCCCAGCCCACTTTGCCCTTGCTGCTTTGCTTTTGAGTAAATGTCCACCATTTGGTCTCAAAAGCGATTGTTTAAGGAAGCACATTACTCACTGGTGATAGTTAACTTCTAAGCCCATCTACTGTTTGGCTGAAAGGTGACCTACAGATATAGTTTCAAAGACAAGTTCAAAGGTTATCTTAGGATGGTAGACTCGGAAGTCTCCTCTCCATCGGTCCAGTAAGCCTGGCCTTTCTTTCTCTTTCTTTTTTTTTTAAGGAATGTGAGCGTTATTCTGCATTTTTCTCCAATTCTATCTGGGCCGTGCCATGTGTCCATACCAGAGCAGTTAGCCATGATAGGCAGGCACCATGTGCCTTCTGCTCTGGGGCTAGGGAAGGCTGTGGTGTGTGTGGCCGATTCCTCCTGCGGACTCACTTCTCCTCTGAGCCTTTGATTGCTTTCATTCACGTGTGTGTTATGAGGGGAGACCACCCTAAGCCACACTATGTATAGGAGCAGATTTCTAGGTATTTTCCCCAACTCAGCTACTGGTGGTTTTGAACCACCTTTGGTTAGCAGTTTAATCATATTATACACCAGGGCGTCTTACAAAAACATTTATTCCCCCACCCCCACCACCACCCTGAAATGAAATAAAGTGGACTCGCCTCCATTAGAAATATTGAATTTGATTCCAAAATCTCCATTGGGTCCTCCTGGATTATGGCTGGCCGTCAGAATGATTCCACCGATGGCTTGGATTTTCCTAATGATACAGGATACAGCCGGGGTGGAGAGAATCCCATTCTGTCCAATGACCAAGCGACCAATCTAGGAACAGACATCCAGAGCACACACTTGAATAGCAATAAATCCACAGAGCTGTCACGCAGAAATGAACCAGCATAGCAGCAGGCAGACAGGCACAGAAGTAGTCTATTGGGTCAGAAAATAGTTTCTTTTATGAATATCTACATCGTGGATGGCATCTACCGTATTATGGAAATAGAATGAGCACTGTTAAATAAAGCCATTCCTTCAGATGGAATGATGAGACGGCAAGGGTTTAGAAGAGTATGCTCTCGGGGAGGAGACGAGCCAGTCAGGGTGCGATGTAGCAACAATGAAAAATACAACTTTCCTCTACTTCCTAAATGCTTCCTCCCCACCTCCACTATCATGATCCGAATTCTACTTTGCAAGTCTGGCTAGAGCAGAGGATGTATACTGGTACAGATAGGAACTGGAAATACAGGGAATCCAGGGCAGATGATCCCTTCAGGATCAGTGGTGTGAGTGGCGATACTGGGAGGGTAGAGAGAGAGTGGGTTGGAAAGAGGGAACCGATGACAGGGATCTACATGTGACCTCCTCCCTGGGGGACGGACAACAGAAAAGTGGATGAATGGAGACATCGGGCAGGGCAAGATATGACAAAATAATAATTTATAAATTATCAAGGGTTCATGAGGGAGGGGGGAGCTGGGAGGGAGGGGTAAAAATGAGGGCCTGATGCCAGGGGCTTAAGTGGAGAGGAAATGTTTTGAGAATGATGAGGGCAATGAATGTACAAATGTGCTTTACAAAATTGATGTATGGATGGATTGTGGTAAGAGTTGTATGAACCCCTAATAAAATGATTTTTTAAAAAAGAGTATGCTGTTTTGGGGGGAATAAGATAAGGTCTTAGCAAGAAAACATACAGTATCTAGAGTAGAACCTTCCAAACCAGGTTTTTGAATTTGAAGTCATTGAATTCATTTTAACCCAACTCGCTCATACTCTTAATTCACCTTGGCAAAGAGATTATAAGTTAGCTTGTTAAAAACATTCTACCCAGAGAGAAAGATTTCGTAAAACAAAAGTATTTTTAAAGCATAAAAAGGTAAACTTTATATGATGAATTTCACAAGATGTAACTATCTCATGAGTCTGCCTTCCCAGTTACGCTTGGATTTTCCAATAGCGGCTATTTTGTAAGCGGGGAGGGCACCACGTCAGCATTTCCCTGGGTTATCTCCTGGGTCCACAGCAGGGGATGCTGGGAGTTGTTACTGACCAGACCAGTGAGAACCACCTTCACGACAGCCACGCAGGAGGTGCTTCGGTCCTGTTCTGAACTCACCTTCCCATAAGGCTCACCGGTGGTATCAGCCAGCCCCTAAACCTTCCTTGGCTAAAGTGGCAGTCACTTCCATCTGGCTCAACATGACCCATGTTGGGAAAGAAGGAAAGGAAGAGGTCCTGCCAGTTTCTCTGACATACTTGTAAAAGAGGTGACTCCTACATAAAAGGATTGGTGGTGGAGAGGCTGTGCCCTCCCTCCATTTGATTCTCTGAGAGAAGAAAGGGATATGGTCTCAAAGGTTCCATTGGGTATTCCCTTTGCCCCACCCAGGATAATGGTGGAAGAAATGAGTTGATGATCGAAGGTATGTGTCCAAGTACTGACAATGCCAAACAGATACATGGATTCCCTGGGAAACTTTTTTTCTTGCACGATTACCACCCTTACCTAGGTGACTGAAACCGTGACCACCTTGTAACTCAACATCTCTGCTACCGACCACGGAGATGGTGCTGTACAGTGGTCAAAGCGCTCAGCGGCTAACTGGATGCTTGAAACCACCCGCTACTCTGCCAGAGAAAAGATCTGCGATCACCCTCAGGAATGCCCCACGGGCTATTCTACTCTGTCCGTTAAGAGTCTTCCGATAGGGATGCTGAGTCAGAATCAACTGGATGGCACACGATGACAACCATCTCTCAGGAGGCAGTTAGCTCACTTCTATCCCCTCGTGGTGCTCATGTATCTGCACAATTGTTGAGGAGGTTACTGCGCTGATATACTTGCATTCTACCTCCCCAGTGAAATGGTCATGGCCACAGGAGGTGCTGTATGTAGGCTCTGAAATAGACAAGAGGGACACTCGGATGGTGTGCAAACAGGACCAACCATCACTCTTGAGCTGCAGAGTGCTTCCAACCTCTACTGACTTTCAGTCCATTCTCATGCCCACTGGACGAAAAAGGCAGCTGATGTTCAGAGTTGTCAAAACCCTGTCCATCCATTCATTCTGGCTTCCATCCAACAGCAATCGAACCGAACAGTTATAGAAAGGCATGGAGATAGATGACCTGCCGAGGTCATATGCCAAGTTCGTGGTCACAGCTGGGAAGGAAAGCACTGAACTCTCCTGGCTCAATCTGGCGGGTCCCAAGTGTAGTGCTGATCAGACTAAAAGTCTATGGTGAGGCAGCTCCAGAATTTCATAGACTGTGTTTAGGAGGTGGGGCAGTTTTATTAGCCAGAGTAACAGGTGGAATTGTATGGTAATTTAATTTGCACAGCAAATTATACACTCACTATCCCTTAGGTTTTATATGTTGTGTTAAAGAGGAGGTTGATGACTATTAAGCTGCTGCATCCTCCGAGTTACTCCTTAGTTGCACCGCCCTTCCTAATGGTGAGATCTTATCGCAGTCAGGCAGGATTATACCAAAGGATAAGAGTAAGAAGGATAGGTAAGAAATAGAAGCAAGGGAATTCAAAGGCAGCTTCTCTGTCTTGTGCCCCCAAAGAGTTGCACTTGGCCAAAGTACTCCCCTTCCTGCGCGGGCCCTCTCCTGTGAATCACTCGGTGGACTATCAACTGTAACCCAATGTTGGGGAGGGCCAAGTTGAAAGTACCATGGACCGCCAGAAGAACACACAAACATGTCTTGGAGGAAGCACACCAAGGGTGCTCCTTAGCATCAAGGAGGGTGCAACTTCACCTTAGGTACTTTGGACAGGTTATCAGGAGAGGCCAGTCTCTGAAAAAGGACATCATGCTTGGTAAAGCAGAAGGGCAGGCAAAAAGAGAAAGACCCTCAAGGATATGGACTGACAGCGTGGCTGCAACAGTGGGCTACAAAACAGCAACAATTTTGAGGATGGTAGAGGACTGAGGAGCGGAGCTAGGCATCCTTTCCTTAAAGATGCTTGTGAAGCTACTGACTCAAGTTCACCTATGTGTCTCCCATCTGTAGCTCTCTACCTCTACTCATGCGAAATCCATCCTACCTGTTCGATCCACCCAGCTCAACTTTCTCAGCCAAAGTTCTGGGTCCCTCGTCTATTCAAAAACCTTTCCTAGCTTCCTTGCTGAAAGCTAGAAGGACTTGGAACATTTGCTGATGAAGATCAAGGAGTGCAGCCTTCCATAGGAGCAGTCTGAAATGAGCAGCCTCTTCTCGGGATAAAGATGAAGCTTTTTCCTCCATCAAGAATTACACTCTCAGAAACCGACAGGGGCAAGTCCGCCCTGTCCTACAGGGCTGTTGTGAATCAGATTAGACTTGATGTCAGTGCGTTTGGTTTTTGAAGCCTTCCACATGGACTATAACTCAATGTAAAGAAAGACCAAAACTCTCACAACTGGGTCAATAGAAAACATCATGATCAATGGAGAAAAGATCAAAGTTGTCCATGATTTCATTTTGCTTGGATCCACAGTCAATGCTCACGGAAGCAAATGACACGATGCATTGGGCAAAGTTGCTGCGCATGACCTCTTTAAAGTGAAGCCTAAGGATGTCACTTTGAGGGCTAACCTGTGCCTGGCCCAAGCCATGGTATCTTCAAGGCCTCAAATGCTGTTGGACAACGCACAAAGAAGACCAAAGAAAAAATATGGAGTAAACAAAGGCTATTCTGAGAACTTGTAGAAAAAAAACACACAAATCTGTCTGGGAGTAGTACAGCCGGAATGCTCCTTAGAAGCATTTCATCTTAAAGACTTTGGACAAGTTATCAGGGGAGACCAACCAAAACACACTAACAAACTCACTACCATCGAGTCAATTCCAACTCACAGCAAGCCTGTCGGACAGGGTAGCATTGTGCCTGTGGGTGTGCGAGACTGAAACTCTCTTCCAGGCGCTGGAAAAGGCCATTATGCTTGGTAAAGTAGCTCCGCTAGAAAGAAGAAGAATGGTAAGGCGATGGATTGACCCAGTGGCTGCCACCATGGGCTCAAACATCAAGGACTGTGAGGATGGCCGAGGCCCAGGCCCCTAACAACAGCAGCAGCAGCTCCCAAGTGCCTCCACACAGACAACTCCCTTTCAGCCTGGCAGAGCCCTTCATCAAACAGCCTCACGTGCCTTCCCTCCACTCCCACAATGCCCAAGGAACGTATGCCACCCTAATACGATGGGTATTTTACCGTCAACCATGGCACGGAGCAAATGTGTAAGTTTCCCTCCTGACACCTGGAACTAAGGCCTGCAGCTTTTTAACATCCCAATAAACACGACGTTTCATTTTCTTTGTCCTGCAGTCACGCGCCCTGATACTGCTCTCCTGTGTAAGTTATGCCTAACAGCTCAGGGGACCGACTGAGGTATCAACATCCCACGTGGGCCCCCACCAACATCTCATTGAATGCACTAGAACTTCCTGGGAATGCAGATAGCTCCATGAGAATAAAAACAGAGCACTTCTAAATGAAGGCAGAGTGCCATCTGTAATCCACACATGCAACAGACTATATATAGATATACTATATGCAACATGCAACAGACTATATATATATACACACACACACACACACACACACACTACCGGGGAAAATAAAATAAAATCATTTCTATTCAGATCACTAGGCTCTTAAGTCCTTCAAGGATCTGCTCGTGGCTAGAGAGGGTACAGACCACGTTGAAGAAGGACCATTGCTTTCTACCAAAATCTGTGGCAGAAATCTATTTCTCCCTATCGTCCTACCTTCCAGCTGTGATTAAGTGTACAACCCACAGTCAAAGGGGTGTCAAAAGAGTCAGGATCGAAG